GCCAATGTTAAGGCAAGAATTCATATGTAAAAATTTAGTATTTTACAGGATAATATAAAAAGCTATTATTCTTTAGCATGTAACTGTTTTAAGTAGTATTCTATGATGGATAATATCCGAGGGAAATAAAATATGAAATTATACTAATAAATCGTAAAAGAATAATTAGTTTGTATGTAAAACGCTAATATAACATTATAATATAAACATAATACTCCCTTGTAAAACACTTAATTATTAAATATTTAATAATGTTTTTAACAGTAGCGATATTGTTATGACTTATAACACTAGGGGTATTCACATAACTTGCAAAAAATTATTAATGTGTTAATCTTGCGCTATCCTGCTAAAGTGTTGTTAGATACATAAGTTAAAACCAATCCTCAACTTCTGATAACTTGGCTTTCACATGTTGATATTAAGTTTTAAGGACTTTTTTTTATTGTAACGCTGTTTAATGCATCCAATGACAACCATATTTTATCGAGGTATTTGAGAGAGTGAAGTACGATCGCGTCCGGTGAGTTAAATACGTGCCTCTCTCGATATCTCGAAGAAGAGAGAACAAAACGATCATTACTGTTGCCTATAAAAGCTCCAACCAGCTGAAGAAGAGTCATGACTTAAAAAGTCAACGTCAACAAGCGTTTGAAAAAAAATATATTTTATCGAAATTTCGTACACTCTTGTTAAAATCTTTTCAAACGTTCAAATTCCAATAAAAACTAAAGTAATAAACAGAAGATGAAAACCTTATAATAACATTTACCGCGCATTTACGAAACTAACTGCGGCTTTAACAGACCTCAGGCCGTGTTAAAATCGAGTGTGCTAACAGCGATATTTAAAACACTGATCCTAAATAAGTTTATCGACTTCAAGACATTTAAGAGATTTACAACTCGTATTACTGTTTTTTCCCATATTACCGGTAGTAAAAACATACACCAGCCTTAACCGACCTGCGGTTTTTATGGGGGAAAATATCATAAACTTAAAACTTACTGAAATTGTCGCTAAAAACACAATTTATATAACAACTAATACGATTTTAGTATACAATTTATTTATGATTTCGATTCATTCATAAACCAATTATGAACAATTAATTAAAATGACCAAACATTGATCTTTCTTCACAAAAATATACTAATTATAAATACTCTCTTAATAATAATCCATATCGCGGAATCAAATGGTATATTGTCAAGTTATATATTTGACCTCTTTTATCAGCAGCTTTAGTTAGTCTATTTTATATTCGACAAAAAAAAACAGCTCCAACATTTGCAACCAAGGCAAAGGGAGCGAAAAGAGTTGGACACCTATATTTTACACTATTTCTTTTTTCATTATTCTACACAACTAAAATCAACACAGAGAGGAACACATATATATCTCTTATAGGAATCTTAAACAAATCTCTAGTTCTAAAATCCTAGTTATACCAGTAATTATGTTAGTATCCTATCCATAAACGTAAAATAAAATTTAAAAACAAATCTACATTCGTACTATGTATAAAACAACAAACAAAGCATTATGTAAAATTGCAACATGTTTCTGAAGAATTATATTTTTAATAGTCTATTAATATATTTTAAACAACTGTTGAAAAAATAATTCTTTAAAAAAAAATGCGCCTGCAATGAATGAACATTAAGAAATAAAGATGGTATTAAAATTTTATACCGTCTCAAAATATATAATATTAATTTCATTACACTTATTTATTCCAAATAAGACGAAGGTGTTAATAATTTATCGTAATGTGTAATAAGTGGATAATTCCTAACACTGAAGCCTTATTAATATCATGAATAATATTACAATAGTTTTAAGTCATTTTCCGATCTAAATTCTTGGCCTAGTATGAAATTATACAGAGTGAAACAGTCATGAAAGTATTAAAACACTTCATTTAGACATTGATTGTTAAACTATCCATCTTTAAAACTAAAATTTTATTCATGTTTCAAAAACCAACTCCATATGCACTTTAATTCTAAAACAACCACAGCATATCGTGTACAACACGCCAGTGAATGAATATTTACGATGTAGATTATTATATTAGAATTACCGACTTAACTTCTTGGTTCAGTCTCTCTTGAATACCATCACGTTACCGTATTTTTAATACTTGTATATATTTATAAACGAAAAAGAAAAACGTATACATAGCTTGTAAATACCGTCCTTCGTAAAGGTCGGACAGCTAAATTGTCAGACCTAATTCAATAACTAAGGGTCAAGACCAGGGAACGAAACCATGACCGCAGCATTGAAATCTTGAACAAAGACAAAATACGGAAATGCTCTATTACTGATCAAATGAGTAGGGGAATTGTTCAAGTAACGAAAAGAAAAAAGAACATTCGAACATTTAAAACGGGTTCTTGCTTGGAGTATAGCTTAGTTTGATGATATATATATATATATATATATATATATATGCAAGAAAAATTCTTTTGACACTTTTTGAAGCTTGATGGTCGTTTCCGGAACTGATGAAATAAAGAGAAACTCGAACGAGAGGCACAGAAAGTAAACACAATTAGAAAAATATGTTTTTAAAATACCACACGCATTCACAAAATATTTTAATTTGTTCTCTCTCTTTTATTTATTTATTTTTCGTGAAGGTTTTTTTTTTTGGTTTTTTGTTTGCATTGCAAATATTTGTTGCGAATAAATTTATATGTAAATTTTCTTTTGTTTTCACAAATTTTTAAGTTTAAACCACAATTCTATGAAAATTTCTTTCTAGTACCTATTTACTATAAAATCATTAATATTCATCTTTCATCATATTTACTATATAAAACATGTCTAAAAACGTTAACAAACAGTTCAGTATTTGTATAATTGTATATAGTATATTTGTATAATCATAATATTCACACCTCTGTTAAGATTGATTTAGATTTTAATTAATTCATTAATGTTGATTTCAAATATCAATTGCAAAGAATTGTTCTCCTTATACTTCGTTATAAAAACTTAGCTAAGTTTTTATCAATTATGAAACTGCTTACTTGATGACATTGCCATGACGTATCTCTTTAGCCGGATTCTGTTTGTGTTATATACATAAGTATATATATATATATATATATATATATATATATATATACATAAGTATATATATATATATATATATATATATATATATATATATATATATATATATATATATATATGTATATATATATATGTATATATATATATATGTATATATATATATATATGTATATATATATATGTATATATATATATATGTATATATATATATATATGTATATATATATATATATATATATATATATATATATATATATATATATATATATACTTATGTATATAACACAAACAGAATCCGGCTAAAGAGATACGTCATGGCAATGTCATCAAGTAAGCAGTTTCATAATTGATAAAAACTTAGCTAAGTTTTTATAACGAAGTATAAGGAGAACAATTCTTTGCAATTGATATTTGAAATCAACATTAATGAATTAATTAAAATCTAAATCAATCTTAACAGAGGTGTGAATATTATGATTATACAAATATACTATATACAATTATACAAATACTGAACTGTTTGTTAACGTTTTTAGACATGTTTTATATAGTAAATATGATGAAAGATGAATATTAATGATTTTATAGTAAATAGGTACTAGAAAGAAATTTTCATAGAATTGTGGTTTAAACTTAAAAATTTGTGAAAACAAAAGAAAATTTACATATAAATTTATTCGCAACAAATATTTGCAATGCAAACAAAAAACCAAAAAAAAAAACCTTCACGAAAAATAAATAAATAAAAGAGAGAGAACAAATTAAAATATTTTGCGAATGCGTGTGGTATTTTAAAAACATATTTTTCTAATTGTGTTTACTTTCTGTGCCTCTCGTTCGAGTTTCTCTTTATTTCATCAGTTCCGGAAACGACCATCAAGCTTCAAAAAGTGTCAAAAGAATTTCTCTTGCATATATGTATACCATACATATGCAAATATAAATAAAAACAAATGAAAACACTGAAACCTCCAACAATTATCCTAATAATACATCGTTATTCAACAAAAAAAGATGTAGTTCAACTTCATGTGGATGCAACAACATCGATTGACATCGCACGCACATATCGACCCTTAAACAACGGTAAACTTTGATCAAAATGATAATAGTGTAGAAGCACGCTATTGCTAGATATGTAACAGAGCAACTACACAATCGATACTGAACAAAACAGTAGTTTATCATCGGGTTAACCCGAAACGACATGTATGGGTACCATGCAACGTAAGATAGAAATGTTCCTGGATTATACTAATCTTACATACATTGTGATAAGTCAGTAATTTAAAAATTTAATTATATCAGGAATATAAAAATTAAAAAAAAATATTATTACATAAAGGTAACTTTATATATTTTTATTTTATTATAATAAATCGCTATGAAAAAGGTAATAAATTATAGAACATCTGAAGAATGAAATGTTTACAATAAAAAACTACAAGACGGATTTTAAACATACTATTGATATCTACCGCGAATATTTTTAAAATATTTATTTTACTTAAAATACTTATATTGCATGAAATAATTATTTTGCAAGAAAAACTTGTTTCATAACATAAAATACCTGATATAAAAAGCAATTGATAAATGAGAGCAATTAATGTCAATAAATATTTTTTTCATAGTAAATTTGTATAGTAAATAAATCAAAATGAAAACATAACTGTTTATCACGTTTCAAAATATTGCTAATATTTGAATAAATACAATATTTTACTTTTGACAATTAAAAAAATTGAGTAAGTATATCAGTAGGCTCTTCTCGAAATAACACGAAGGGGTAGAAAAGTAAATAAATGGATCAGACTGACCTTCCAGATATTGTGGAAAAAGTGCACATCAGGAAGTGGACCTGGACCGGACATGTAATCAGGAGGAATGATATAACATGGACCAGACAGTTCATGGATTGGTATCTAAGAGAACACGTGAGGAAGAGGACGCCTACCGACAGACTGGGACAAGGGGATGAAGAAGAGCTGCGGGGGAGCAGCCTGGAAGAGAGTAGCATTAGAGAGGAAAGAGTGGAAACGGATAGGACAGGTTCATTACCTAGTGTGGTAAGAAAGCTAGAACAAAAAAATTGAACTCAAAACCTAAACTAAAATGTTTATTTTGTACATATAATATAATATGGGATAATTATTATTAAATAAATAAATTTAATTTGTGAGCGAGTGATTAGCAATAAACAAGCCGACAGTTGGGCGGGAACAGACAGGCAGCCTACCCAAGCTGGCATTGTGCCCCGCCAAATATATCCCGATACATTACACCGACCTCTTCTCCACCTGATTTATCGGCAATACGTACCGTCCGACTCCATGCCCCATCCAGGAACCCCCATTCCGAGGGAGGATTCACGATCAGTGGCTTGGAATGGAAACGGATCCAGTTGGCATGGCTTTCGCGGAGGAACGACGATCCCGATAGGCCATACTATCAATCTGGAGGTAATGTTCGTAGAGGATAATGACTCTAAAGATGGGATGAGGCCAAATATGTTTCTTCCATAAATTTCAGTAACCTACCAACGGTAGGCGACGTAATAGAGTTTATTGGTGAATATTTAAATTGTTTCAACATTCCTCGCAATGACCACGTATTAAATCCACCTTTCCCTTGATGCTATACTTAATATGATTGGACGTATAAATTAAACCAAATTATTCACCTTAACGATCTTGAGATTACCATATTGAAACGAGCATTTCCAAAAAAAAAAATAAATCAAACAATGTTGGAAAAATTATTAAATAGAAAAGTAAACGAATCTGAAGGAAGTTAGTCGACTGTTCTACATGTCATAGTTGATACAATTTTTATTGTTGCCGACATTTCATCACAAGCATGTGGGTACGTACATCTTCAGCACTTGAAAATCTTGAACTCTTGAGTACTTGAACACCTTCAGTACAGGAGACATACTCTGATGATGACCCACATACCTGAGTTGAAACGTCGGCAACAATAAAAAATCTTAAAATGACTGCTGCCTGATTATTTATCAACTGAAATAATTTCACATCGTAATCCGGCATCTTTAACGCACATAATTATTTAGATTTATTTCCAAGAGCTAAAGATTAAAATATTAAAAGTCTACCACTCTGATAAATCGTAGCTAAGAAGTTCTCAAACGATTAAGCCCAGCACAAGACTATGAAAACGTTAAACCAAGTTGAACTTTTTACACCGCGTAACCGAACCAGCAGTATAAACTAGTTAAGTCCTAGTAAAAAGTAACGAACAATAATATAAAGTACATTAAAGAATAACACTCAAGTTTTTGCGCTACGTTTTATCGTTTTGATATGAAGTAATAAAATAATTTCAAAAAAGCAGTTGGTCGCCTTGAGTATTAACTAGACCGTTTATTGTGAAAGTGGTTTATTGTGAAAACATATACCATTTATACAAAAAAATCGATGGAGAACAAAGAATTTAAAACTTTAAATGTATTACCTAAATGCCCGAGAAGAACACTAAAATTTGAAAAAATCGCTCTGGCGGCTTTGTAACACGATGCCAGGCCTTTTACGAAAAATATAAGGATATAGAGACGTTATATACCGTCTGTGCATCACGAATATTTCAAAACACTGCCACATGAAGAGCATAAATAAATACTACCAATATCTTATGTAAATTTTAACAATATAATTAACGTTAAAAATTATAAATACCACTTCTATTTTTATCTTGTTATTATTTGTAAGCAAAATCGCATTAATATGAGATATATTTCAATTAATATTTCATTTTTCAAAATTGAAATTAAACGATTTTTACAATCGACTAATTTTGAAAGTGGTGTAAGTCATTAAACATATATTATTTTAGTTAAATTCGCGTAGAACAAATTTATATAATCAAATCACATATTGATAAATCAGTAGAAAAATTGCCTGAATTGATAGAATTAAGCTATTTTTTTTAATTGATGGATTAACTAACCTTTAATTTTCTCGAAACAAGATAGGATGGACTTAAACTACTTTCAAAATAAAAGGTCCAATCGTAAAAAATGAGGGTAGAAAAACGAGCAATATCGCCTCAATTCTACCCATTGTAAAGAATTAAGAAAAGAACGCTAGAAGAATTTTTATCTCAAAGATAAAAGATATACTGAACGCTTTAATATATAGAATATTCTGTATACAGGTAATGGAAAACCCCTCTACGTTCTCCCTACCTAAATCCTATAGATGATGAAATCAACCAAGAAGTGATAAAACAAAAGATACGAGATAGGAAAAATTTTAAAAAGTTAGTCCTGAAAGAATAAGAGAGAAAAATGGAAACATTAAAGAAAATTTGATGAGATACATGAATGCTCGTTCAAGATAAAGAAGTTTATATTATATAGTAAGTTAATTGTGTCCAAATAATTCCTTTACCACATTGACATCATTAACAGACAAAACAATTAATTACCAGAAATATATCAAAGGATCTCATTAGGAATCATATAAAAAGTTTTTAGATACCGTGTCATATTTTATTTTATACATACAAACCGGGACAGACCGTCACGAAGACTCATCATCCCAGAATCATTTCTTTCCAGAATTATGGTTGGAAACCGGCAATAAGAGTAATTATAATTACATAATAATATAAACACTGGCAATAAGAAGCGATGTATAATATTTTTAAAGAAATTAATTTTTTTTCCGAACTGCGGTTTCCTTCTGTTTATTTTATGTTGACATAAGACAATAAAATCTGTATTGCAGAATACATGTAAATTAAAGTTATTCGAGCAACGAGTAGTATAATTAAATGAACAGTTATACAATTTGTAAAATGGGGGTTGGTCCGCCGTTAGACATATCATCCTAGTTTCATATAGATAAAAACTGAATGATCCTATTATTTATATAAATGTCCTTAGTGCATACAATGACTCAGAAAAGTGAATATTTACAGCAAGAAAAATATTCACTTTTCTGAGTCATTTATGCACTACGGACTGCTACAGTCAGATATAAATAATTCGACTCGAGTTATTTTAAACCGCCTCTGAGAATAAGTTCGTGAAACTCTTTCCAAAGCAGAAGCCGACCGATACCGGGACCGCTGTCTGACAAACTTATTGCTAGTTATCAGCAATTTAAAAAAAAAAAAAAAAAAAAAAAAAAAAAAAAAAAAAAAAAAAAGATAAAAATATCATATATATATATATATATATATATATATATACATTTTTCTTTCCAGTTGGCGCTACAGACCTTGTAGATCTTTGACCGTGAGATGTGGTCTTCTATACCACATCCCGATTCCTGATTTAAGTATACGGGGGTAGGGTCATCAGTACTACGCCCGATCGGTATGAGTTGCCTCCAGTAGGATGACGAGGCTCACAAACCCGGCGCACAAATATATAGATAAATTTTCAAAGACGATCAGTAAATCAATTCATAACAATTAAGGCCCCTGTTTTAAGTGAGATTGTGTTTAATTAATAACCTTCGGTATTAAGTCAATTACCGTAAAAGGTGACCCAATCGTAATTTAATAAGAAGAAAGTAAAATAAAAAATATAATGCAACCTTTTTTTGTAAACTAAATTAGAATAAGATTAGGAGTTAAATATAGATTTTGGTCCATGTCGATTTGGATATAAATCTTACAGGAATCTTCCTTAAAATCTGGTAAAAGTGCTACACTTAAAGACACCTGCAAGGCGAACCTACATAAAAGGCTCCTTTTTTTTTTTTTTTTATTGTAATGGCGAAGAAACTAAATAGTTGGCAACCTTTCACCTGCCCATCACGGTCCAGGACAAAAGGTCACTAACAAAAAATCTCTTTAAGGGCCACCTGGAGGTCTTATAGGGCAGATGGTAGCCTATACCTGGGTCCAGCCAGCATCATCAACGCTGGGGCTGACCGACCAGCAGATATAATATATATATTAACATATATATATATATATATATATATATATATATATATATATATATATATATATATAATATATATATATATATATATATATTTGTTATTAATTTTACAAATTTATGATGTTTTTTTTTATGGTGTTAAGATTTTAAAGAAAATCGTATTTTGCTAACTACACAACTTTACTAAAATGATATAATCTACTTAACGCATTTCAGTACTTCATTCATATTTTCAAGGTAAATATGTATGGAATAAAAATAAAATGTTTTTCAGCAATAATCTCGATACTTAATCGATACTTAATCGATACAGCTAGTGTGATTTATAGAGGGTGTACATACAAAACGCTGATATAGCCGTTTTCTTGCAAAAAATCATCAAGTAACATTTTAATGAATTTGAAGTTTCAAATTAATTTAAAAATACTAAAGTACCAATTTGATTATTTATTTTTTGTTATTTGCAATTATAAATGAAATGAAAATGAAACATAATTTTATTCTGAGCTTAAAGTCTTCTTAAAATAATAGCAGAGTTAAAAAAAAATGTTTATATTTCAGTCTGGCATGTAGATATAATACAAATATATACAAAAAAAAAACTAATAAATTACAACTAGATACAAAAAACACTAACAAAAAATACAACTTCATACAAAAAATACTAAGAAAAAAGTAAACAAATAAAAATAAAATTACTTAATCAATAAAATCAATTAATTGTTGCTGAGCAATAGTAATTAAAACCTAAAAATTCCTAAAAGCTTGCCGAAGTTCGTTTCTATTGTAGGTTGTGGAATAGGAATTATTTGAAGGAATTTGAGGACGTGATTTGATGGTATAGAAACAGGTAAGGAGTTCCAAAAGAATAAATATATTTTCTTTTTCCGACAAATAATTAACATATACATAAAAACTTGTACCACTACAACCTATAAAGGCTTTTGGGTTCAGTACAATTTGGGGAAAGTACTGTTTCTTAGTCAACGGTTGTGATAAGTAGGTGATTAGACTGAGATCATGCTCAACCGCCATATTTTTCCCCTTAATCAATTATTTAAGTAACAGTACCCACATTATAGAGGCTGGATGTGCCCCAGAAGGGTTTCCTGATCCAGGGTTGCCCCACCGCAGATGAAAATAAATAATTCTAGGAACTAGGACCTTGAGGACTAAAAGATCCGTATCTAACTACAGAGCTACCCCACTTCCCACACAATAAATAACGATGAATAAAAATGAAAAACTGGAACCACATAGTGACTTTTTTCACGTTGCCATAGTTGAAAACAAAAACAAAAAAATCACTTACTATTATAACCTTGTAAGTACATAGGATGTGAGTTAGGCTTACCTCACTTAGTTTTATTAACCATCTGATCAATAAGTACTAGTTTAAATTAAACGCGATAAAAAATGAAGTGAAGCCATGGAGCAGTTCTAGTCACAGTAAACGCAGAGAGGAAGTTGTCCTTACGCGACTAGGAATAGGTCAGACCAGGCTTACGCACCTTCACTTAATTACGAAATAAAACCCGCCCATTTGTCGGAAGTGTGGAGAGAGAATGACACTGGTCCATATCTTCAATAGTTATGCCTTTTACATTAGACAATTAAACATAAGGGGACAAATACACCGGCTGCTTTGGGAAATAATGAAAAAA